CTGGTTTTCAAAGTGACAGCAGTAAAAATAAACAATCAGATCTTGCAGACCTCAGGGTCAAATACATAACATCAATTTTAACTGCTGAATTCAATGAACTGTCTCGAAAAAATATGGAAAAGGCTGGTATTAAAGACGAAAAATAGTGAATATTTTTTAGTGTTAAAGGTTTTATTACATTACAGTAGTTCAGCATTTTGATATAAACTCCTTTGGTTTTCAAACACATTAATATATATTTTCACGCAACTTATATGTGGCATGGACGCATATTAAAAATCACCTTATTAATTAATACAGTTGATAATCATAATATGCGTCCACTTAGCATTGAATGTGCTTTTTAAAAAATTTAATGTGCGTTCATTTTCGTCATAAATAAGTATTTGAAATAAAATAAATAAAAAAAAAATAAACATGAAAAATCTTAACATGTTTATAAACCAACGTTAATATGTGTTGATATTCGGTATTAAAAATTACATTACAACTTGCGTAAGTTCATATCTTACTGTGCGTTCATTTGCATACTAAAATAACATGGAAAATAATAATTATTAAAAACAAATAATAAAAAAAAAAGAATACAAATTCAAATAAATTAATGTGCATTCAAATTCACCATTAAATGCGAGTTATTAAAGTACAACATGCGGGACCTCAAATCTTGATGTGCGTTCGGTTGAGTACTAATTAAGATAAATCATTTCTCTCATAACTCTTTAATATGCGTCTCATATCTCGTTAATATGCGTGTCGGATCTCTTTAATATGCGTCTCATATATGTTTAATATGCGCCTCATATATCTTTAATGAGCGTCGGTCCGTCTAACACTTACTATGCGTGCACGTAATACACAGTTTGCTTCAAAAATATAACTTAGCATGCTCCATTTTCATAACCAAATAAACTAGATCAGTTTTCTGAGATGAAAAAGAACAAATGTAGATCCACGACAAATAAATACTATATAGTGACAGAGAATGGAAAAAGATTTGGAAACAACAACAATCGACACTGCAATGCTAAACGACCGAGAGAAGATATACAACTGAACGATTCTTTGAAAAACAAAAACAAAGTCGACGGCAATGTGAACGACGATAGAGAACAGCGATGAAAGTTAATTTATTCAAAATTACTAATTTGTCACTCAGTACGCGAATACAAGAAAAATATGCGAATTTAGATCTTTGAGATCAACGGTGAAGATATTTTAACTCATTATAAACGAACGGCAGCCTTACAACCGCACATCCGCACCAAATAGTGCCAAGCGCACCAGAACCCGAACATATATATATATATATATATATATATATATATATATATATATATATATATATTGAATCCGGTGCAGCCCCCTAGTTAAATGAGCCCGTGAGCTTTAATCTTGTTCGTTGGTTTTAATAATTCAATGGTGCGGATGGTGTCAAATTAATAGTCTTCTGTCTGATTTTATTATTAAGTTAGGGGTAGTTTTGTCTTTGTTGCCGCGTCTCTTTATGTCAAAGTCCTTAATTCGCGGGCTTTGTGCCCTGTCAATAGTTAATGTAGACGTCTATCTGCAGTCTCTCTCTTTGCAGCCGTTTCAAATTCTAGCTTCATTGTTTGTCTCTCCGGACGCGAACGACTCTTCTCGGTGCTTCAGGTTAGAGTGTTTGAGTTTGCGGCGGTTGTATCGGTGGTGATCATGGCAGTGTCGAGTTCGAGGAGATCTAAGCGGCTTAGGGGGTCTGCGCCTGATCCCATTCCAGGTTATTAGTTTTTTTTTGCAATTTTTTTTTATTTGATCGGGTTTTTTTTTTTAAAAGTCTGGCCGCTTATCTTCTGTTTTGCTGGGTGTGGGGGATGTCGGTCATTGATTAGGGTTTTGTGTAGGGTTCCGGGTTGGGGGTTAGGGTTGCCCGTTTTTTTTTCTTTGTTATTTTCTGATGTGGGCGTGGTGTTTTTCTGATTTGGATATTGTATCTTGTTATTCTGTTGGTGTTTTTTCTGCCGATATGGGAGGTGGTGGAGTTGGGGATGAGGGCCGATGATCTGTATGGTTAATGGAGGTAGTGGGTGTGTGATTTGTTGGGGTTTCAGTCCACCCATCAATAATGGTTTATGGTTTATTTTGTTGTCTGTGGTGGTGATTTATGGTGGTGCTGGTGCCCGGAATTTTGATCCTCATGGCTGGGGGGGGGTGGGGGTTGCGGTGCTGAGTTATGTATATAAACCGTGAGATTTATTTATTTATTTATTTTTATGTTCTTGTTGGCAGTTTTGGTTTGTTATTTGGTGTTGGATGGTGTGTGCAAATTACTGGGCGATGTGTGCATTATTGTGCAATAATATTTGTAATGTACTGGAAATATTGTTTGGGTATTTGTTGGTATTACTGTGTATATCTTCTTCTTTTTTTCCCAATTTTGCTATGTGCGTAGGGGGTTAGAGGTGAATGCAGTATAGTATACCGTTGTTGTAGCTTTATTTACTATGGGTTTGTGCGTACATAGTCTGTGATTAGTGTATTTTTTTTTGTGGGGGGTAGGGGGTTGGTGGTCATGCTAATGGTGTTGTAACTGGTATGTGTGTGTTTTGTTTCATATTGGGTTTTTTTTTTTTTTATTATGCTGAGGTTAGATTTTTGCCGGTAAAATAGTTCAAGTTGTTTTTTCAAGTATGCTATGTGCGTAGGGGTTAGGTGGTGAATGCAGTACAATGTAAACATAGTGTAGCTTTAATTAGTATGGGTTGGTGCGTAATGGGGCTCGGTTTGTGTTTGTTTCGTAATGGTTTTTTTTTTTTTTTTTTTTTTTTTTTTTTTTTTTTTTGCAATGAGGTTGGATTTTTGCTGGTAATGTAGCTTGCTGTTTTTTATTTTATTTTATTTTATATTTTTTTTACAAGTATGCTATGTGCGTATGGGGTAGGAGGTTAATGCATTATAGTATTTGTAATGTACTGGAAATATTATTTGGATATTTGTTGGTATTACTGTGTATATCTTTTTTTTTTTTCCAATTTCGCTATGTGCGTAGGGGGTTAGAGGTGAATGCAATATAGTATAACCTTGTTGTAGCTTTATTTACTATGCATTTGTGTGTACATAGTCTGTGATTAGTACATATTTTTTTTGTGGGGGGTAGGGGGTTGGTGGTCATGCTAATGGTGTTGTAACTGGTCTATGTGTGTTTTTTTTCGTATTGGGTTTTTTTTTTATTATGATGATGTTAGATTTTTGCCGGTAAAATAGTTCAAGTTGTTTTTTCAAGTATGCTATGTGCGTAGGGGTTAGGCAGTGAATGCAGTACAGTGTAAACATAGTGTAGCTTTAATTAGTATGGGTTGGTGCGTAATGGGGCTCGGTTTGTGTTTGTTTCGTAATGGGGTTTTTTTTTTTTTTTTCAATGAGGTTGGATTTTTGCTGGTAATGTAGCTTTCTTTTTTTTTTTTTTTTTTTTTTTTTTTTTTTTTTTTTTTTTTTTTTTTTTTTTTTACAAGTATGCTATGTGCGTATGGGGTAGGAGGTTAATGCATTATAGTATTTGTAATGTACTGGAAATATTGTTTGGGTATTTGTTGGTATTACAGTGTATATCTTTTTTTTTTTTCCCAATTTCGCTATGTGCGTAGGGGGTTAGAGGTGAATGCAATATAGTATACCCTTGTTATAGCTTTATTTACTATGCGTTTGTGCATACATAGTCTGTGATTAGTGCATATTTTTTTGTGGGGGGTAGGGGGTTGGTGGTCATGCTAATGGTGTTGTAACTGGTCTATGTGTGTTGTAATTGGTCTAGCGGATCCCCTTGCCTCCATCACAAGGGCCCAGTGCCGAAAATTTATGTGGAAGAATATCTTCATGAGATTTGGGTTACCCCAGCAAGTCTTATCCGACAACGAAAAGCAGTTTGACAACCAGGATTTTGCTCATTTCTGCGCTTATTATGGGGTGGAGCACATCAAGGCAGCCGTGGCGTACCCCCAAGCCAACGGTCAGGTAGAGAACGCCAATCGTACCATCCTCGGCGGAATTAAGAAGAGAGTCGAAGCGACAGGGTCATCCTGGTACGAGGAATTGCCGTCCATACTATGGGCCTACAGAACAACCCCCCGAAAGGCAACGGGAGAAACCCCTTTCGCCCTCACATACGGGTGCGAAGCACGGATACAAGTAGAAGTGACAACCCCGCAAGTAGAAGCACGCGATTCCAACCTCGCCGGAACGATGAGGACTTGCGGGTTGAACTAAATTTCCTACAGGAAAGGAGGGATGAAGCCGGACGAAATATTACTATCTATCAACAAGCGATAAAATGCTACCACGACGCAAGGACATGCCCCCGCAGTTTTCAGGTCGGCGACCTAGTCCTACGACGACGGGAAGCCAGCAAACCGCTTCAGGGAGGCAAGCTGGCAAAAAAACTAGGAGGGGCCATAGGAAGTGACGAAATTGGTGCACAAAAACACTTAAAACTCAAAACAATGCAGGGCAGGACTGTGGGCCGCGTATGGAACGCCCATCATTTGCGGAGGTTCTTTCAGTAAATAGAGTAGCTCTCGAGGAATGACAAATAACGCGACTCCCATGGCATTACCGTGGCATGTTTCCCCGTAAGTGATTAATATTTCCCTTGTAGACGACATTGTGTCGCATGTTAATAATATTCGTGATTTTCACACATTGCATTGAGTATTACAGACATCAAACGGATGGGGCATGTGGGTTATCGCAACCCACATGCGCGGACTTGCCCCCGGCAAGCCGCATGGAGTTGGCGGATGGGGCATGTGGGTTATCGCAACCCACATGCGCGGACTTGCCCCCGGCAAGCCGCCTGGCATTAGCAGATGGAGGATGCAGGTTATCGCAACTCACATGCGCGGACTTGCCCCCGGCAAGTTGCATGAAAATAAAAATAAAAATAAAATAAAATACAATAAAATAAAATAAAAATTAATAAATAAATAAATAAATAAAATAGCACTAAATAGATGATCAAGGTTGGCGAAATATCCAAAAAAAAAAAAAAAGATCTATGCCTAAATCTATGGGGCTGCAGAGGCGGCATCCGAGCTAGAAAATCATGAGCCTGAATTGATAGTGAGATGGAGATCAGAGGGGTCTACGCTCCCGATAATACCATATCCGGCCACAGGTTCCGAGGGAGCTTCAACAGACGACGTCACACCGAGTTGGGCCGCTTCGGGAGTCATAAGCACATCCCCGCCGGCAGGTGTCGTAGAAGAAGGCGTAGCCTAAGCTCGAGTAGGTCGAAGAGGAAGGACATCTGGCAGTTTCCACCCTTCAATACTGAAGAAGTGAACCGGCGCTCCAGCTTCTCGTAAAGCTTGTCTTGCATATCTCGTTGCCCCATGTAAAACGCCGCATTGCATTCCGGCACCAACCTGGTCTAACCTTCTAGCGTTTCGCGCAACCACACCTCCGCTACAGGCCCCATGGCCACCCTGCCTCCGAGGGTAGTTGCCCATTCTTGGAGGACATGTACAAGCGGAGGGCCCGTATAATCCTGGTACTCTTGCACAGACTGCCACCCTAGCATGGCCTCGACCATACCTTCGCTAGAACGATCCGAATGCCCCAACCACCAGCGGATCAGCCCGGGCATATGCGTGCACGAATATTCACTTGGAGCACGGGCGAAATCTTCAGTCCTTTGCCAGTCTTCCACGGCACCTTCAAGGGCCTTGTCATGATCTTGTTGCTGTTTTTTATGCTCCTCCAGCAAAGTTTTGTGTTCCCCCTGAAGGGCCTGGTGCTCCTCCCCCAGAGTTTTGTGCTTTTCCTGGAGGACCTGGTGCTCCTTCCCGAAGGTTTTATGTTCCTCCTGGAGGGCCTGGTGCTCCTCCCCCAAAATCCTATGATCCTCCTGAAGGGCCTGTTGCTTATCTCCCAATGCCCGGTACTCTTGCTGCAGGGTTTGGTGCGCCTCCTTCAGGGTTTTTAATTCTCTCATGATGCGCCTACGAGCATCCTCTTCTTCCCGGAGAGTATGCTCTAAACCCCGTTGCGTCTTCTCCAACTCGGTATACTCTCGAGAGGCCTCCTGCAGGCGCTGGTGAAGCCCGATGGATTGCATAACCATCTGCACAAAATAGGGAGACACCAGGTACACACAATAAAAAAAAGGGGGGTGGGGGAGGGACCACTTACGTTCATGGAATCTCCAACTTGGCAGGAACTCAAGGTTTCCATCGGACTACTATCAATCCAGAAGCGCCGATGGGCCGGTACCATATCTCGCACTCCACGAAGAATAAAGTCCACATGCTCAGGATCATAGGGACGAAGACGAGGGCTGCCCGGACCAGTCAAAATCTGAGCAGCCAGAGGATCCCGAGCATCATACTCACCGGTAGGGCTTGGCGTAGCTTGCGGTACGGCCAAAGAAGGCCCACGAGAAGGGGAGTCCACAGCATGGAAAGGAGTGACTGGGGAGAACTGGGCAGGCGAAAACTGTATGTTGGAATCCACCCCGTCCATGATAGGGTCATCCATAAGCCCAACCGATGATGCCCCGTCATCATCATCCTCAGCATCATCACCAGAAGTGGCCTCGGAACTAGGAGCCCGCTGTCGTTTACGAGTCTGGTAGGCCTTGAGCATTTGGGGAGTACTCTCCACAGGAGCTAGGAACATCGAATATAACCATCAGTGCAATAAAAAAAAAACAGATATATACATATACGTACAAAAAAAAAGACAGTATATACATATACATACAAAACAAAGATATATATATATATATATATATATATATATATATATATATATATATATATATATATATATATATATATATATATATATATATATATATATACGTACCTAGAGGCGGACCGGTACTAAGTTGGTGGAGTCGAGAGGGCTCATGGTACCTACAGTGGTCATGGGGACCATCGGCGCACAGTCGCGCCCTGTCATCATCCAGACCTGAATAGCCGGGAGGCGTATAGAGAGGAGGGCGCTGCACCCACACGTTACTAAAACCCAGCTTAGAATCATCAGTGGGATAACGAAGGTATACAAACTTCTCCTTCCAATTTTTTGGGAGAGAGGGCAGGGAGGTCACGAAGGGGTGATTAGAGACGGGCTGAAGGTGGAGGAAAGACGACCCACTTTGGCTCACGTTGAAAACATGTAAAAGTAAAGACAGGGAAGGTGCTACCTGAAAACAGTCGCACCCTGTCATCATCCAGACCTGAATAGCCGGGAGGCGTATAGAGAGGAGGGCGCTGCACCCACACGTTACTAAAACCCAGCCTAGAATCATCAGTGGGATAACGAAGGTATACAAACTTCTCCTTCCAATTTTTTGGGAGAGAGGGCAGGGAGGTCACGAAGGGGTGATTAAAGACGGGCTGGAGGTAGAGGAAAGACGACCCACTTTGGCTCACGTTGAAAACATGTAAAAGTAAAGACAGGGAAGGTGCTACCTGGATTTCTCGGCACCGGGTGATAAAACAGGTGATAAAGCGATAACCGTTCGGAGTCATTTGACAGGGCGCTATCCCATGGCACTCAAGGAACGTCCGAATAAGCGGATGGGGAGGAAATTGAAAGCCTGCCTGGACTGAGTGATAATGAACGGCCACCTTATCAGCCGATGGGGGGTCTGTCATGGTCCGGTCCTCCCTGGGCACGGTAATCTCAACGTTTGGGCCCAGCCATCCGTCCAAACAATCAAGTTCGGCCTTAGAGATTTTAGCACGTATGCCGCGGGGAGTAGAAGGATCAAGATGGCGGACGGGAATACCGGCAGTAGGAGGAGCACGAGGCGTCATGTGCTACATAGGGAGCGACCTCTGAGCAGGACGAGAAGATGGATTAGAGAGGGCTGGAGAGCTGGCGGCGGTGATTGGCGAACGGGTGATACCAAAGACCCCCAAGCCCCGGTTAGGGGGCAAAGTGGTTGCAAGACCGGGGACAGGAGCGACGGGGTGATTAGTAGGAGATGGCGGCGCTGATTGGGGGGAGCTCATGGTTTGAATAGCACGGGGGCCGAGGCCGGGTCTAGAGCGGTAAGCAATTTGGGTGAGGGGAGCTGGTTCTAGCAGAAGATTAGATGATGTGGAGGTGACACGGGAAAAAGTTAGCTTTAATAAGGGGGATGGGAGTAGTTGAGATTGTTGACTCAAAGATTTTGTCAAAGTTATGTGCAAAAAGGATTCCAGTTCTATGAAGAAATATCAGTCATAAAAGGAATAGATATTGAAGAATACTAGTCCTAAGAGGAATTGTTATTGAAGATTTTCTAGTTCTAGTGTGATTAGGAATAACATTATTATTCACAAATCTATTAGAAGTAGCTACTATAAATAGGGGTTGTCCTTTATCGCAGAGATTAAGCATTTAACATTAATCTTGTGAGGTACGAGAGTCTTTGAGAATAGGATACTAAATTCCCCTAGAAAGTAGTACATGTGTTTAGGTTTCAATAGTTTGGTAGGAAAGATCATTCTATTGTGTAATCTCAGGTTCCAAACAGTGTACTTTAAATATTGAGCTTTTAGTGGATTTAGGCAAGTTCTCAAATTGAGAAGTGCCTCGCAGATTAGGGTTGTTTGCCCGAACTGCGTTACAGATCATTTGTGTTACAACTTACGTTTCAACATCACTGTGTGTGTCGATCCTTAAAATTCTACAATTGGTATCAGAGCAAGCTGTTAAAATTACTAGAAGGATCCTACACCATCCAAAGGAACGACACAATGGATTTTCCAAGAGAAGGTTTATCGAATAGCAGACCACCAGATCTAGATAGTGCAAACTATTCCTATTGGAAGACTAGAATGAGAGTTTACATCATATCCCAAGGTGAGAGAGTGCGGAGAGCAGTAGAAGAAGGCTGGGAACCACCTACTAATGAAAAAGGAGAAAAGAAACTAAAAAAGGAATGGTCTGAGGATGAAATCAGAGAAGCTAACTACAATTCAAAAGCCATGAACTCTATATATGGGGCAGTGAGTGAAGAAACTTTTAAATTGATTTCTAACACTGAAATTGCCAAAACAGCGTGGGAAATTTTATGCAATCATCACGAAGGCAACACCATTGTCAAACAATCAAAAATACAGATGATTCAAACACAATTCGAAACTCTAAAGATGGAAGAAGACGAAAACATCACACAATTCAATGCAAAAATCCTAGATATAGCTGGAGCTGCATACAATCTAGGAGAACCTTTTCCCGAACCAAAATTGGTTAAAAAGGTACTCAGATCACTACCTGAAAGATTTCTCATGAAAGTCACAGCCATTCAGGAAAGCACAAATCTGGACACATACAAACTAAGTGACCTAATGGGAAATCTCCAGACATACGAACTGGAGATGCTTCAAAGAAAACCAAATGCTTCATACAAAAGTTTGGCTTTTCAATCCAAGCAAAGTGCAGATTCAGATGAGGAAAGCATGGAAGAGTCTATTGTCTTGCTCACCAAGAAGTTCAACAAATTCAGAAATAAAAACAAGAACTTCTCAAATAACAATCTCAAATAACAATGGAAACAACAGAAGTTCGCAGTCACGCACATTCGAAAACACAAAAAAAAAAAAAGGAAAAACCTCAAAATACCGAGGGGATACAGTGCTTCGAATGCAAAGGGTACGGACATATCCAATCAGAATGTCCAACGTACTTGAAAAGGAAGAATAAAACCTATGTCACAAAACTTAGTGACGATTCCGATAGTGAAGATGAAAATTTCAACATTGTTGCTTTCACTACAAGGCACGAAGAAGAAAATACATCTCAAGAGGACACACAAGAGCTATTCGAAGCATACACACTGCTGCAATCAAAATGGCACGAACTCATCAGAGTTAATACAGAACTCATGCAAAAGAATCGTGACTTACAAATTGAAAAAGAGAGAATTCCGGGAACATTTGGAAACAAAGGAAGAACTAAAAAGATTCCAGAAAAAGGAAGAGGAATTAACAAGGAAAATACAGTCCCTTGAAGAAAATCTGCAGAAAACAGAAAACACTTACAACAGACATACAGAAAACCCAGAGATGTCACAACATCACTTTCAACAACGAAGGAGAATCAGATGCTATTACTGCCACAGATTGGGACATATAAAGGCATATTGCTTCAAAATACAAAATGATCTCTATTATAGACAAAACAACAGAGATTGGGCAGTACAAAGCAAAAAAAAAAACAGTAAGAAAATCTGGGTAAGAAAAGATCAGAATATTGCCTACACCTCAAAAACTAGGAAAGAACATAACATATGGTATTTTTACAGCGGGTGTTCAAGGCATATGACTGGAAATCCAGAAAACCTGGAAAACATTCAGTATAAGAATGAAGGACATGTTACCTTTGGAGATGGAGGAAAAGGCCAGATCATTGCAAGCGGCATCTTGAATGTCCATGGGCTGCCTAGGTTGCCAAAAGTCCTCCTAGTACAAAGTCTAAAAGCAAATCTAATCAACATAATTCAGCTTTGTGAAGACAAACTCAAAGTAGAATTCTATAAAGACAATTGCATTGTGTTTAATCAGAATCACAAGTGTGTCATGAGGGAAAAAAGGTCCGCAAACAAATGCTATACATGGGATGATGACCTATCTGGTTTACAGACAACTATCAAGCAAAAACAATCACGGCACCAACATATGGGACACATAAATTCTCATGACATCAAAGGGGACCAAGGAATATTCCTAGATTATTCAGATTATTCATCAACAGTAGGTCTTTCAGTGTAGACAGTACAATGGAATCCATGAATGAGGTTATTGATGACACAATTTCAACAATAACCACTAATGATGACGAAAGTCCCAGAGTTGTTAAAACAACTGTTCCAACACCTCTGGCTACTGTCACACAGGAACACATAACAGAAACAGAATCTGAAAAGGCAAAGGAGACAGAAATCAAAAGGGAACAGGAAAAAGTACATTCAACTGGGATCTTGAAAATTCAGAAAAATCATCCTTTAAAAAACATCATAGGGGATCTCAATCGAGGAATCAAAACTAGAGGAAAGAAACGAGATTACCTCAAAATGACCAAAGAAGACTATTGTTTCACCTCCAAGTTTGAACCAAAGAATATTGATGAAGCACTAAGAGATGAATTTTGGATAGAAGCCATGCAAAACGAACTACAACAGTTTGAAATTAACAAAGTCTGGGTGTTAGTATCTAAACCCAAAGATGCTAATATTATTAGAACAAAATGGTTAAGTGTTAACAAAACACTACTTGTTAAGCACTATGGTCAGGACATTATAATAGCACAGATCTATGATGATGACAGAGTATTCGAATCAAACGTGGTTGGTCAGCTAAATTATCTCCTAGGTCGACAAATCAAACAACAACTCAATGGAAAATTAAGGTCTGAAATTGGTTTGTGTAATTTGTGAAAGAAATAGGGAGATTGGGCCATATTTACAATGACTAATCAAGAAAAGGCCCAAAATCAAGAAAATAGTTCTTCGGCTCAGCCAAATAGTGAAAGGCAGAATAAAATAAAAAATAATAATACTACAGGGAACGTGGCCCTTTTTTGTTCCAGAAGCTACCTTCCTCCCATCATTTCATCTTCTAATCTCAACTCCAGTCAATAACAATGGTGAAAACACAAAATCAGTTCAAATCAAAATTACCTCGTAGGAGAACCTCAACTCAGCATGTTGGCACTTGGGTTTTCTCAAACCCAGTACAAATTGATGACCGACGACCCATCAACGATCGCCATGGACCCTACTTTGATTTCTCAGGTTCGGTTTTGAGATGTTCAACAGAACAGAGACGCCTCACCAGGTAATCCGAATCTCCCTTTAATAGTCTCTGAAGAAACGCCCAATTGTATGCCACTCACGGTTGATTTGGGAGATAACCGTATTGTTGACCCGAATGGTCTCGTGGGTCAATCAGTGTTTGCCCTAAACCATGGAGAGGCAACCGATCCTCCTTCATCTGATTTTTTTTGAGCAATACCTCCATAAATTATTTGAGGAGGAGAAAGATGCAGAAGAGACAGAGGTTCAGGAACATGCGGAACCACAAAACCGCGAATCTGAAGAAAATTTTCGGATCAGCTCCTTGGACTATGAACATCTTATAGCCGGGGTTGATGAACCCACCATTCCAACTCTCAATTCAGACAAGGATCAAAGGAAAGGGAGGAGAATCGATCCTTTAAAAGGGATTGATCCTAAGGCTAAAAGACCAAATGAAGAAGAGACAAGTTAGGTTCCGAAAAAATCAAGTGAAAACTCTGGGTATGAAAAGTCAAGAACACGTGCCAATATTCAAAGAAAAAGGAAGAAAACTCTCAGCATAAAAGGGGGAGAGAAAAAGGTTCAACAGTCGCAGAAAAATTTTAGCAAAAGGGGGAGAGAAAAGGAACTCAAATTTTTTTGCTCTCCTTGTGAAACTTGAACAGATGACATTTTCTGATTCTTCTTATAGCTATCAAGAAAACAAGAAAAAGAAAAGAAGCCAGTGTGCTCTTTGTTTATGTAACTTGAATAGATGATATTCTATGTTCATTTCGCTCATAAACAGTGATGAAGTCACAAACAGAGATTCAAGACAACACTCATTAGATGACAGAGATACATGGAATCAGCTAAGGGGGAGATGAGTCAAAAGCCAAGCCTTTTATGGAATCAAGGATTTTGCCAAAAATTTGACAAAGGGGGAGAGTGTTGACTCAAAGATTTTGTCAAAGTTATGTGCAAAAAGGATTCCAGTTCTATGAAGAAATATCAGTCATAAAAGGAATAGATATTGAAGAATACTAGTCCTAAGAGGAATTGTTATTGAAGATTTTCTAGTTCTAGAGTGATTAGGAATAGCATTATTATTCACAAATCTATTAGAAGTAGCTACTATAAATAGGGGTTGTCCTTTATCACAGAGATTAAGCATTCAACATTAATCTTGTGAGGTACGAGAGTCTTTGAGACTAGGATACTAAATTCCCCTAGAAAGTAGTACATGTGTTTAGGTTTCAATAGTTTGGTAGGAAAGATCATTCTATTGTGTAATCTCAGGTTCCAAGCAGTGTACTTTAAATATTGAGCTTTTAGTGGATTTAGGCAAGTTCACAAATTGATAAGTGCCTCGCAGATTAGGGTTGTTTGCCCGAACTGCGTTACAGATCGTTTGTGTTACAACTTACGTTTCAACATACTGTGTGTGTCGATCCTTAAAATTCTACAGAGATTTTATGGGGGAAACATTTATCTAATTTGAGTGGAGAAAGGACTGAGTAAAAATCCTACTTCCACTCCAGTTAGGTATCAAGATACCTAAATGGAGTGGGGGACTTGTGATGGGGATATTGGAGGTGGGCCATAGACGCAGAGGGCCTACGTTATTGGGCCGATAGGGGGAGGCAAGGAGATTGGGCAGGAAGTCAGGAGGGGCCGCCGGACGAGGGCGCCGGCCGGGGCGCTGGCCCCGGCCGGGGGTCGTGACCCCAGCGCGGCCCTAGCACCCCGGCGCGCATGGGTGGCCATAGCCGGCCCCAGGCGGGGGCCGGCGCTGGTGGCGGGACAAAGGCGCCGACCGGGGCGTTGGCCCCGGCCGGGGGTCGTGACCCCAGCGCGGCTGGAGCGCGGCCCAGCATAGCCCTAGCGCCCCGGCGCGCTGCGGTGGCTATAGCCGGCCCCGGGCGGGGGCCGGCGCTGGTGGCCGGACAAGGGCGCTGGCCACGGCACACCCAGCGCGCGGCCCAACGCGGCCGCGGCGCTATGGTGCGCCGGGGTGTCGGGCGGCACCCGCACGCAGGGGTGGCGGGCAGATGCGCCGAGCATGGTGGGTCGGGGGTGGTGTGAGCAAGGTGGCGATGGCGAGGGAAACCTGGAAGGATGGAGAACGTGACGTAGAGGGCGACAAACAAGCGGAGTGGGGAGTGGCAACGTGGGACACGTGGACGTCAAAAGGGGATAGGGGCCTACTATAAATAGGGGCCCTGGATCTGTGGCTATGGGGCAACTCAGACAGAACAGGCACTACGGTAAAGTGGTCTTGATCTCATACTCTCAATTCAGTCATCTGTTAAATTTTATCTTTTCCGTTAATTTCTATTAGTTCACCGTTAACTTATTCATTGATTTCAATAAGAAAGGTCTTAGGTTTGAACCCCATCCCAATCAAAGTTATCATAATTAGTACTCTATTTTACTCTTATTAAATTAAAATAATAATTTAGTAGCTACAACAAAAAATAATACATATACATTTCTTTAATTTAGAATTATGTGTCTACAATGTCTTTATTCAAAAAAAAAATTATTCATTATCAATAAATTAAATAAGAGAAATAATTAATTTCATTAGTTATATTGTATTTATTTTTCTCCAATATAAAAATTCTTTACATTCAAATTTATCAATTGATTATATTTGCTACATTGTCCCTACAATGTCTTTAATAAAAAAAATTATTCATTATCAATAAATTAATTAAGAGAAATAATTTTATTAGTTATATTGTCTTTATATTTCTCCAATGTAAAAATTCTTTACATTCAAATTCATCAATTGATTATATTCACTACATTGTCTATTATCTTTTTATGTGCACTATTTTAATTAAATATCAAAGTTATAATACAAAATAATGCTATATATTTATTTACCAAGTATTTTATTAATACCATGAAAAAATTAAAAAAAATATAATTAATAAAGCCAATCATATTAACTACTTGAGGGATTTGTTGACAAAGAGAGTATACAAATCACACAACAAATTGAAGTGAGAACTATATTACAATGTCCTTGTTTGACAATCAGCAGTTAACGGTTAGCGTTAGCGGATTATATTAGCGAATTTGACCAGCGAATTATATCAACGGTTGGTAAAAAGATATTTGAAAAAAGTTGTTTAGATTAACATGTAAAATGACCTAAGGGTATACATATATTTAATAATAATAATAATGATAATAATAATAATAATAATAATAATAATTGTTTTTAAAAAATAAAAAATAAAATTAAGCCAATCATATTAACTACTTTGGGATTTATTGACAAAAAGAGTATTCAAATCACACAACAAATTGAAGTGGGAAACTATCTCACAATGTCATTGTTTGGCAATTAGCAGTTAGCTCTTCAATATTAGTATATATTTAATATTTTATGCCCTAATTTTTATTTTCTCTCCCTTATGTCCCTATTTGATTTCAACCATACCTATATAATTATTTTATTGACAATTATAATCAATCTTGACTATATTATCTTGCATTTATAAATTTAGAATTGCCTATTTAAATACGCAAATTTAACATTCAATTATCTATGCACGAACAATTTCAATATAATCTTGCATTAATATACTTTAAAGTACTTATTAAAAAAAAAAATATTTTGCATTATCCCAACCGCCCAATCTGCATAAAAAATTAGTAATAAAATATAGAGATAAGACTCAAATAGACCCTTGAACTATTAATGAAAGTGCAATTAGCACCCTCAACTACAAAAAGCTTCAATTAGGCACTTCAACTTGTTAAAAAATTGCAATTAGATCTTTTTATAGGTTATCATCAAGTAATATGTTAAAATTAAGTGACTTGGCATCCACATATATCCTAAATGCTGACATGTAATATATTTAAATAATTAATTTTTTTTAATTATTGGAATCAAGCTGCCATGGCAGCGTTATGCTCCGAGCTATCTCCTCCGGCTCAGTCCTGCCCTCCATTACTATGCTGAACTTATTACTTGATGGTAACCTATAAAAAGATCTAATTGCAATTTTTTAACAAATTGAAGTGTCTAATTGAAGCTTTTTGTAGTTGAGGGAGCTAATTGTACTTTCATTAATAGTTCAAGGGTCTATTTGACCCTTATCCCTAAAATATAAAAGTAGTTAACGCGGTGCAGTCGGTTAATTGGATGATCTTCGATTCTTCAACTTATTACATTTCCAATTATTACGTATTTCATGAAAAAAAAAATGATATTTTACCCATATAAATTTCCATTCCCTAATATTTTCTTTCCATTATATAATTTATATTCATTATTGTGTGGTATAAATCAACTGATCTTGATCTGAAATACTTTTAATTAAATATTAAACAAGCCAAATATATATATATATACACACACACACACATAAGCATGTGTATTTATATGTATTATGGAGTATATATTTCTATTTATTTATTTTTCAACTCCTATTAATTACCAAACAAATTATATATTTATATGAAATTTTTCATATACATTTCTATAGAGCTCGAGCTTTGAATATTTAGTGAGATTTTAAGTGTATGAGTTTTTTGGTAGAGTTCGTGGATGAAGAGGTATATATGTAATATGTTGTCTTTGACCAAGGCCATTGATAGGTAAAGAGAATGTAGTGTGTACGATAATATAATCATGCCTCTTTATATAGTAATATAATTGAGCATGAGAGTTAAAGACTTGTGGTCCACTGATACCAAGTTACTCTTCTATGTGGGAGATTGTGGGTTCGAACATTGTAAAAGAGTCAGTCGTACTCAAAAAATATAAGAATTGAGAGGGACTCTTTAGTTACATAATAATTACTATTTAATACCTTCATTTATTTTATAAATGTCTTAATTAACCTCCAATGCTACTTTAACTAGTTTTCTTTTTCTTTTTTTTTTTTTAAGGTACTACTTTAACTAGTTAACTACTCCATATGTCTCCTTGCCTGGCCTCCATGGGTTAGGTGTTACAAGGCCTTCATGTCACCGAGTCTGTTGGGTCTATGTTGTCAATAGGTGTTTTGTAAAAGTGTTGGCAATAACTAAATCCGCGTTATTTTCATACAAAAATAAGGAATAAGGGTCAAATAGGTCATTTAACTGCATACCAAAGTGCAATTAGGCCATCGAACTTAAAAACAATGCAATTGAGTCCCTGAACAACACAAAATCATGCAATTAGGTCCAAAATGACATGTTTTACCTGAAAGACCGGTTATTGATTTTAACCAATTTTAAATAAAAATTAATTAAAAAGAAAACCCTTACCGTCTTCGTCTCCAATGGCCGCAGATGAAATAGAGACAATTCCGGCCACCCTCCGGCCATGGAGACGAAGGTCTTCGTCTCTATAGAGGGAGGCGAAGGTTCCGGGTTTTTTTTTTTTATTATTTTTTGAATTGGTAACCGGTCTTTTAGGTAAAACAGGTCATTTTAGACCCGATTGCATGATTTTGTGTTATTCAGGGAGCCAATTGCATTGTTTTTGAATTCGATGGCCTAATTGCACTATGGTGTGCAGTTAAGTGTCCTATTTGACCCTTATTCCTAAAAGTAATGATAGTTTACTTACCCGATCACCCCTTACAAGACAAAAATAATTTTTTAAGTATCATACAATATTTATACTCTTTATTTATACTCCGTACATAACAATTAACATGGATGCATGCATAAGCTGCAGAAACATGTATGTAGGTGTGTTAATTACATTCAAACTCATGATCTATACCATGATTTATTAATATAGCATGCATGATGCATGCATGTATGACAACTTATTTCAATAAATTCTCAGATTTCACATACATAGGGATAGGGTTACAGATAAGTTGGATCAGTATGGGATCTGGCCAATATAATTCCCCGGAGGAGAATAGTTGCAGATAACAAAGTGTCCGGCACCGTTGGTGCACTCAACCCTAGCGCATCCCAGCTTCACCGACTTCCTCCAAACCACCTGCGTGTAGTGCCCGCACGACTCCCCCGCCGGCGCGTTGCAAGAATTGGTGGCGTAGTCATAGTACTTCTGCTCGGCAACCCACATGTCCACCGCCGATTTCCCCGTCAAGGGGCCGCCACCCGCGGCTATGTTTTCGCCGAAGCCGTACGTGAAGCTTCCGGAGTGGGTGAGGCTGCAGTCGGCGGACCGAATGTTGGCGTAGTTCTGAGCGTACGCTTCCGCCGCCGCATCCCACACCATGGGCCCCACGCCCACGGCGGCGCGAGCGGCGTTGTGGGCGTCCAGGAAGTCTTGTGGTGAGTTCTGAGCATTACAACACAGAGCCATCGAAAACACAAGCATGCATGCAATGGAAACTGGAATTTTCAAAAACCCCATTTTTGTTTTTTAAATCTTTCTCTGAATTGAATGATATGAAGGAATTACCGATATAAAACTATAAAAGAGATGAAGCGATGAAGTATGGCATCAAGGGTTAAGGGTATATATAGGACTATAGCAGCCTAAAATGTCATTATTATTATAGTTCTTGTTGTGTGGTTGTTACAGTATTATATAATTTGTAGTAACAAGTTGGACATCTATCGTGTAATCACAAACTTTTCAAACCTCTTGGGTTTTTAAAAGTTAGTTTCCCTCGTTTTATTTCTGTGGATGGAATGTTCAAACGGTATTCAACAATTCACTTTTATTTTTTTGACCAAGGTTTTTCTTGATTAGTTACTTAGAACCAAGACAAATCATATTTGTCCAAGGAACTCGAGGTGTATCACTGATATCTATAATTACGCCAATTTAAACTTTCATCATCTTATCAACATCTCATGAATTTGAAAAATTCTTTTATGCCCTGAAATGGGTGGGCCGTAGATCAATTATAGTAACAAAAGATTACGAGTTCGATTTTTGTCAACACTTTTTCAATTGAACTTGTTACACAAAATTCTTAATACAATTTATCACTTCTATATCATTTTTGGACTATTTGTACGTGGTTACGGATTTCGTATGCCATCCAAAAAAAAAATCTCTTTTATCGTGATTTTCATAGAAGGATTTGTAGGCGTTGAGATAGTCCCATGATTTTTCATAAACCTCCCAAATGGGTAGAGTACAATTATCATACCAGAAGATCACATCAATATTCTTTCGGTCAAACTTAGCGCACATGATTTTTTTAGTATGGTTTTCCTCTCTATGTGATTTAATTTGTAAGCTATTACACTGAAACAGACAAGAATTTAGTCTACGCATATACTCGAATAGTGAAGGTGAATTTCTCTTGTGTGACAAAAAAAAAAAAAAAAAAAAAAAAAAAAAAAAAAAAAAAAAAAAAAAAAGATCTATTTTTACAATTAGTTGTGATAAAAGCAAGCCTATAAATCAATTTACACGCATCCCGGCCCGCATGTGATAAAATTACTTTTTGTATGACACATTAATGCATAATCCATATTAGTAAATAAATTAACAAATTTTTAAAAAAAAATTATAACACCTATATAACATATCAAGAATAAGTTAATTGTTTGGGGTAAGAATAATTTAATTGTACTAGTTGCGTAGTTGGTTTCTCACGTCACTATAAATTTTTATTTTTATTTTTAAAAGTAACAAGAGATGAAAAAGATTTATTCCATGCATACCATTCAGTGGTGGCTATGAATTTCTATTGTCACCCAAAAAAGCATAACAAATGTAAATTTTATATACCAAATAATAAATTATCAAACCATAAGATTATATAAAAAACTCTTTAATTTACCCGAAAGCTCGCATCCGCTATCGAAATGTGCTCAATGAAGGCAGCCTTGTGACCTTAGTTGACCAATGACTACAAGGACCTAATTAACTCAGACCGAAAAAAAGCCAATAAGTTCCCACAAAGATTTAAAACGCGATCACAAAAATGTTGGATTATATATATTTACGCATCAAATTTGATCTTAGCTTTGTGCCATCTTCAACTATATTGATCATTGACTTGGATGGTGCATGCATTGCAATCAACACACAACAACAACAATACAACTAACCTCTCTGTCATCATAGTTTTAACAATTCCCAGTTGCATATCTGCCTATGTTAGCAAGATTTGCAAGTCAAATATATACAACTCAAATTTTATTTACATGTTTTTTCACACAAAATATAGACACTATGGACCGGGGCCATTTAATTTGGTTCTAATATATGGATAGCTCCGATTATAAAAATATAATAGTGGAAAGAAAGGATAAACTTTAAACAAAAAACATAAGTCAATAACGGCCAAATTATTAATTTTTAGTTTGTTGTCTTAAAATATACATCAAGTGATCATTTAATTTGATTCTCTTATTAGTAAGAATATTACCATGTCATTTAGATTTTATTAACTTAATACTAATGATCATGCTAAAAAACTCAACAGGGTAGCTCAAGTGGCAAATGAGCTCTTTTTGTGGGGGAGAATTTTGAGATAACCCGGATTCGATTTCCACAAGTGACGATTCCCTCTGGACCAGCTTTTGTGCCTCTACGAGCTAGCTAACCGGGTGAACCCGAAACCGTTAAATGGACAGAGAAAGAACCGGACCATATTGTGGTTTACATAAAAAAAATGATCATGCCAAAACAGGGGTGCAAAAAATAAACAACCAATGAGAAACAATGTAATATAAAGATATATAACATGATAAACAAAGAATAAATGTAATAGAATTAAATCTTGAAATCTAGGTATGAATACTTTGAATACAAGCTTCAATAATATATGTTAAAAGAAAGCTAAATTTAAGTCTATTTTAATTAGAAAATAAGTAAAGAAAGGTTCAACATTGACTAGAGACATTCAAAAGAGGCCCAAACCTGCCAAAAAAACAATGCTTCAATTTGTGCTTAAATATTTAAGACAAAGTACAAAGCAACAATCACAAGAACAATCATGCAAACCACCATTCATAATTAAAGGCCGATGGAGATATTGGAAATTGTCCAAAAATAAGAATCGGGATTCAAGATAGGCGACCCATGCAGTTCAAGAAGGCGATATATAAAAAAGTCTCGAAAATTAAGGTAGAACAGCTTGATGAATGGTCGTTCTATGTCCAATATAATTCAAACTTTCTAGCAAAAGATCAACTGTGGGGAGACAATTAGAATAGGCTTGCCAAAAGAAGTTTTTAATTCTCGCAGGTAGCCATAAATTCCACATTGAGCTCCAATCTTCCTCTATATTAGCCTCTCCAAAGGGTTATTTGGTTCTGACGCGCACAAAGTTTTATACATAATTATGTGAACTCATTTGATTATTTATAATAGAGTACAGTTAACCAATTCATAAATGTCCAATAATAAATAAAATAAGTTGTGATTTGTGAAGCCACAATATCGAGTGACTACATACACTCCCAAATTATACTCCTTGAGGTGGCAAATCAGGATTGATTATTTTCATCATGTGGTTAATCTACAGAAAAGTGTCTACATGAAGAGCATGTGGGAGGGAGTAAAAGTTGGGAGTATAAAATGAGAGTACACCAAGTATTTTCCCACAATATCACATGCAAACATGTTTGTAAATAATGAACTAAAATTTTCTTTTTAGACTTATATTAACTCTAGTTTTTTTTTTTTCTCAATATTAAAAATAGATGTCCAATATTAATATCTAATGTTCAAATTATTTGTTTGCTCCTATATATTTTCTATTGACTTGACCACTCACACTTCATGTAGAGACGTAGTGTTTTTATTTTTCTTTTATTTGTGTATATTTGCTATGTTTTGTTGGAAAAAATAGAGTAAAAGACATTTTTGGTCCTAGACTTATAATGGCACGGACAATTTTAGTCCTTTATAAAAAAATCAGACAATTTTTGGACACACTTATTGTGACGAGGACAATTTTAGTCCTCCGTCAATATTTATGTTAGATGACCGTTTGAGAGGAAGGTATTTGCGTCATTTTATGTTATCTTCTTCTTGCGTGAATGCCTGCCAAACCAAAGAATAGTTCCATCAAAGCAGAAACTGTAAAGTAGAACACAACCTGGCTACTAAATGATGACTTTAATCACTTGGAAACTTTGCCAACGTTCAACATCAAGTAAATCAAAGATTTAAGAGCACATATATAAGGATGCCTCAACAACATGGAATTAATCTAGTAGTGTGGAAATCTGCTTTCACCAAATCAACCCTAACAAAGACAATAAAAATCAAGGAATTGAAAAAAAAAAAAAAACTATAATTTAACAGAATCACACTACAAAGCCATTCCATTCACAACCCAAAATCCCATCCCACAATCAACAGGAAGGGGAGTTTCTGTTTACTGATTTAGGTGCTGGGCCAGGGGGCGAGTTCGACTCGGATGAGTGGATGGAGAGTTTGATTGGCGGTGGGGATTTCACAGGGAGTTCCAAGCTCTGGCAGAGTAGCACGACAGTTCTCCGATCGAGCGTATTAGGTTAATCGCAATCAGAGTGGCGGAGAGGGAGAAGACATAAGCATATTAGGTTAACCGATCGATCGAGCATATGATCACACAGCCAGCCGATTGCCTCTCTCCACCCTTCTCACCCCTTCCTCTGGATGACCAACTCTGTGACGGCCGCCGCTACCACCACTCTCGTCCCGCCTCCTCTACCCAAAAAACTTGGCGAAGAAAATAGGATTGAGTTTGGGGAAGAAATCTAATCGTAACAAACATAACTAGATTGGAAGAAAATTAGGGTGATTTTGTTGAATTGACAGAAATACCCCTTATTTGACGGTCAACTAACGAAAATGTAGATAGAGGACTAAAATTGTCTTCGTCACAATAAGAGTGTCTACAAATTGTCTGATTTTTTTTTATAGAGGACCAAAATTGTCCGTGCCACTATAAGTCTAGGACCAAAAATGTCTTTTACTCGAAAAAATAGCTTAAAATGGCATGTTAAGTAGCTATTTTGTGGTACAATTATCAGTGGGATCCACTTCTGATTTGGGTCGGGTCAAAGTGGATTCGGGTTCTTCGTAGTGAGACAAAGAGATTGATATATTGTACGCTCAAAACGGATAATGGGTGAATGAGATATTGATTCTCAAAGTAGACCCATTTGAGTTGGAAAATGAAGGGAAAAAGTGAGCTTTTGTCCCACATTGGTTTGGAAAGAGGATTTGACCCCCCTTTTATACAAGAGCTCTTTTGGAGCTTATAGAATTGTATAGCATAAAGGCTCTCTCGCGCGGGGGAAATCAAATTCCAACTATAAACAAGATTGAAAAGGCAAGTTTTATCTTGGGAAGCCTAGGTCACTTGTATATTATAAGGTCATTTGGGAGGTGGCAAATAAGGTACACCAAACACTAGCCAAATTCTCCATCTTTCCTTCCCTTATTTTTTCCAGAAAATAATAATCTGATTTTTATTCGATTATTATTTGTTTTTCTACCAACGGATCTAACATGTTTTCCATAGACAGATGGCGATTGACATGATATGAAAAACCTGCATAATCAAGAAAGTAAATTACAGATTGGAGTAATTTGCATGTTAGAAATAAGTTTTGATAAATTGGGATAGTTATGCATGCTAAAATTATTGGAACTATGATTTAAAACTCTTTTAACACCTACATGTTTTTGTTACACTCGAACTTTTAATCTTGTAAGTGCATATTGTTATAAATAATATATTTAGTGTGGTCATTATTAGTATTGATTATGTAACGGTTAGGAGATTAATAATGATTATATTATGTCTTTCATTACACTTGTATATTATATATGTGTGTTGTGGTTGTATGGATATACTGGTGAGCTGTCATAGGCTCCCAAATTAAAACCTTACAAACGTAGTAGCGGGAGTAAGGATCGATCCCACGAGGAGTAACCAGTTTAACTTTTGTGCTCAAATTAAAGGTAGGGGGGTTTAGAGTATATCGAGAATAAAGATAAAATAAAAGAGAATTTAAATAAACAAGAAATTTAATTGAACGAATAGAGCAATGAAAATAATATATCGAAAACACTTATAATAGGAGACCTTGGTTAGTAAAGATCCACCACCGGAATTCAACACTGATTATTGATTAATAAAGTAATTAATATGCAATTGAATATTTGTTGTGAAATTATTTCGTTTCTGTTTTTCCTTAGTTGTAGGTAAATAAAGCACAAGCGGTTTAATTACCCCTAACTACTAAATAATCTAAGACAAGCGCTATAGATTTAATTTAATAGCAGCAATAGGAACTAGGAAAATCGACAAACTAAATAACACAAGCACAAGCGGTTGCATTTAATTTAGGAAAATATTCTACCCGAGACCAATTATCACTAAGCCGTCAATAATTAACCTCAGTTGCTACTGAATATTAGAATAATTTGTAGCACAACATTATCTAATATAGCAAATAATTATATCAATTATATAACTAGTAGGCCTCCCTAGCAATTAAATGATACAACTATTCAAATAATTTAGAAGAATATTTAATACTCAAATGCATAAAAATATATATAATAAAAATAAATAAATAACCTTACAGCGTAATGAACTCCGGGGCTTCAATTCACTAAACCAAACTAGAAATTAGCCGCGAATGGACATTGATAACAACTTTAAAGAATATTCGAGAGGGGAAGAATGAACATTTTACAATAGGAAACTCCTACTATTTATAGCATTCTAAAAATAGGCCAAACTATTCTATACCACACGTTCCCTATTTTTGTGCCTCACTACCAAGTCTAGCTGCTTGGTCTTGCCATGATTGGCGCACCACATTTGACCTGCACAAAACAACATCTAAAGATTAGATTTATAATATATATATATATATATATATATATATATATATATATATATATATATATATATAATATTATATATATATTATATTATATTATATATTACTTTTAGTAGGACGCAATATATATAGATTAGTATGTAATCTTATATATATTAAATATTATATATATATATATATATATATATATATATATATATATATATATATATATATATATATCTAGTACTATATTTTGCTCATTAATTGTTAAACTCTAAAAATAACTAATTGTTAAATAATATGAAATAATTAATACGAAAATATTATAAAAATGTACCTAAAATATGAGTGTAAAATGTGCATATCAAATCCCCCCACACTAAAACATTTGCTTGTCCTCAAGCAAAAATATTATTCGCGATGTAAATTAAAATGAAATTCCAAAAATTCATAACACTTCATGAACAACAATCTGAAGCACCCTGCAATTAATAAGTTAGCATCCCTGTCTGAAAATTGAGAAAACTAAATAAGTAAGCCCTCACAGGAATATCACTCATCACTCAAGTGTTTGATGGGTATAAATTTCACTCAAGTTCATTCCTATAAAATTGATCTACCATAGGCTTGCATATCTTCTCAATCACCACTACAAGAGTCATGCATGACACAAATCATAAGGACTTTTCACAGGTTGTAATGGGGCTAGGGTCAAGGTAGGGAATTTTAGGAAATTAGCTTAAACAAAAGCTTCAAACTAGAGGAGCAAATAAATACAAGTAATCCAACACCCTCAATTTCCAATCAAAAACACATCCCATTGAGGTACAGAATGCTTCCTCAGTATTACCAGAATTTCCCCTTACTTCATTTATTTAGAAGTAACTTCAACTCAAAATCAATTGCTGATTCTTTTTCATTTTCTCATAAATTTTCAGCAATATTTTTCTTTTTCAAACGTATATTCTCCATTTTTCCATTTCATTTTTTTTTTCAATTTTCCATACCTTTTTTTTTTAAATGATGAACTGCCTTCATTTTCTCTTAGAAGACCAACGACAAATTGGAAATAAAGGTACAACCCGCCTCACTTTCAAAACAAATTAATAAGAGTAGGTGATCTCCCACACACTTATCCTTCACAAACTCACGTAGGTTACAAGAATAATCCATAATTTGCTCCACTAGTTATTCAGCTGGGTGAATGTATTATTTTTAGATATAAAAGGCTTGTAATGTGGTTCAAAATAAAGAAAAGAATGGCCATAAAGCTCAAAGTGGGTTAACGAAGGAAAATAAATCATGGGACAAACCGGTTATTTGGCTAGTGAGGCTCAAAATCAAATAATGGCCTTAATCACACTTGAATCATGCATGGTCTAATTAGCTTTAAAAGAGAATCAAGGCAAGTTCTAGAGAAACAAAATTATGGAAGAAATCGCACAATAGAAAGAAAATGAGACCGAAGTGTCAGTCAATGGCTCAAAACACTCACATGTTTATTGCTTACTTAATATAGCCACTACATATCAAACAAGAAATACTAACAAACTAATCACAACTAGCCAAATTATTTATTCAATCATGTCCTGAATTCCAAGAAAGAAAAATATTGTAATTTTTCAAAATAATACTTATTTAGCATAAAATACTAAGAAAATATTTGTGAAAATATTTGAAAATTTTTGACATATGCAAACAAATAATAAAACTAAATTCCCTCCCCCACACTTATTATCAACATTGTCCCAAATGTTGAATAAAAAAACACAGAAAAAGGGTTATTGAATGAGAATATGGAATAAAAGAAAAAAAAATGGAACAAACACACCTTAGGTTGCTTCCCAAGCAGCGCCTTTGTTTATCGTCGTTGGCTCGACTTATGATATTTCTTTAAATTTCCATCGTCTTTTTGAGTACCTTCGATGATTATGAGTATTCAAAGAAATAGTCCCGTCTTGCAAATTAGTACTCAAAGATGATTTATTATGTTTTTCTTCTTTTTCATTCGAAGCAATTTCATCAAATGTAACAAAGTTCAAAGAATCAACAAAATTTGCAAAATTATCATCACTAGGAGATTTCATGGTATCATAAATATTAAAAGTCACAAGTTTACCATTAGACTCCATTGTAAGTATACCACTATGAATATCGATTTTAGTTTTTGCAGTTTTTAAGAATGGTCTTCCTAACAAAATATGAGAAATTTTATTATCATTTTCTATATCCAGTACATAAAAATCAGCAGGAAAAACCAAGTTATTAACTTCAACAAGCAAATCCTCAATCACACCCCTAGGATATGTAGTAGATCCATCAGCCAATTGAATTACTATACTAGATTTACTCAGGGGTCCAAGATTTAACGAATTATAAACAGAATATGGCATGACATTAATAGAAGCTCCTAAATCTAACATAGCATTTTCAAATTTCACCCCACTTATCATGCATGGAATAGTAAACATACCTGGATCTTTGCACTTTTCAGGAAGATTGCCTTGACTAGCCATAGAGACATTCTCTTGCACTTTCACTTCTTCAACTCCTTTATTTGGTTTCTTTTTCAAAGTGCATAACTCTTTAAGAAAGTTTTCATAGCGAGGTACCTTTTTCATAGAATCTAAAAATGGTTTATTAGCCTCACATTCACGAAATGTCTCATATAAATCATTATTTGAGTTTCCTCTTATTGGTTCTAAAAGAGCTTGAGGGAATGGGGGTACTGGTTCATAATCAGAAAAATAAGAAAGCATACCTTGGGACGTCTCTTTATTATTGACAATGATACTTGCACATACTCCCTTGTTTATATCGACGTTCTTTTCCAGCGACATACTTCTCACAGTAATTGCACTTACATTCTCTTTAGGATTAACGATCGTTTGAGAGGGTGATTTGCCAGAACTCTGTGCTTCCAACCGACTTACCGTAGTTGCTAGTTGGCCAACTTGCCTTTCTAAGTTTTGAATACTAGCCTTTGTTTCTTGAATACTAGCCCTTGTCTCCTGTTGGAATAGTTGTGTTTCTTGTTGAAACTGCAAAGTGTTAGTAGCAAGAGATTTAACAATATCTTCTAGATTCATACCTGAGCTAGAGCTTTGGACTAGTTGTTGGCTGGAAGGAAATTGTTGTCTATACTGTTGAAAGTTGGAACGATTCTGAACAAACTGGTTCCCTTGTGAGTTCCCATAGCTAAGGTTTGGGTGATCCCTCCAACCAGGATTATATGTATTGGAGAACGGATCATACTTACCTTGAGGTTGTCCAGGAAAATCTCCAGCCATGTTAACTTGTTCAATAGGTTCTTCTCGAAGAGTTGGACAGGCATCAGTTTGATGCCCAACTACCGAGCAAATTCCACATGCTTTTACAGTTTGCATATTGCATACAGCTAATTTACGAACAAGAGTAGTTAAACCAGAAATTTGTTGTTCAAGAGAAGAAATATTTACTTCATTCACTTTCTTAGACGGTTGGACTATTCTATTGCCAAACTGTTGAGAATTTGCAGCCATGTTCGCAATTAGAGTTCTTGCAGCGTCCGGTGTCTTGTCAACTAAGGCACCACCGCTTGCGGCATCAATCATGCTTCTATCCATTGGAAAAAGCCCTTCATAAAAGTACTGGATGAGTAGTTGATCACTGGTTTGATGATGTGGGCAACTTGCACAAAGCTTCTTGAAACGCTCCCAATATTCATATAATGGTTCTCCATTGTTTTGCCTTATACCATAGATTTCCTTTCTAATGTTGGCAGCCCTTGAAGCTGGGAAATATTTTTCAAGAAATGATGTCTTTAAGTTATTCCATGTGGTGATGCTTCCGGAAGGTAAATAATATAGCCAATCCTTCGCTGAATCTTTCAAAGAAAATGGGAAGGCTCTTAACTTGATTTGTTCTTCAGTAACCCCTGTGGGTTTCATACTTGAACACACCACATGGAATTCCTTCAAGTGCTTGTGAGGGTCTTCACCTGCAAGTCCATGAAAAGAAGGCAAAAGATGAATTAATCCAGATTTAAGTTCAAATTGCACATTAGCATCTAGAGCAGGGAAAGTGATGCATAAAGGTTGCTGATCTAAATTTGGAGCTCCAAGCTCTTTTAAGGTCTGATTTTGAGCCATGGATTCCTCTTCTAAATCAGAATGGGCGGAAGGTTGGGGATCGGTAGAATCGGTAGCCAGATCACTAAACTCCAATTTTCTCAAAGCTTGTTTCTTCCACCTGCGTATAGTTCTTTCAATTTCCGGATAGTACGGCAAGAGTTCTTGATTAGCAGATCGAGTTATACGCATAAACCGTTAAAGATAGTGCAACAATTATGTAAAAGTAACAAAAGAAAAGAAAATTATTATTTTTATTTTCGTTTGGGACAAATTGAAAAACAAATAAACAAATAACAAAATAAATAATTAAATAAATAAACAAACACAAAATAAGCTAGAAAATCTCCCCGGCAACGGCGTCAAAATTTGGTGAGCTGTCGTAGGCTCCCAAATTAAAACCTTTCAAACGTAGTAGCGGGAGTAAGGATCGATCCCACGAGGAGTAACTAGTTTAACTTTTGTGCTCAAATTAAAGGTAGGGGGTTTGGAGTATATCGAGAATAAAGATAAAATAAAAGAGAATTTAAATAAACAAGAAATTTAATTGAACGAATAGAGCAATGAAAATAATATATCGAAAACACTTATAATAGGAGACCTTGGTTAGTAAAGATCCACCACCGGAATTCAACACTGATCATTGATTAATAAAGTAATTAATATGCAATTGAATATTTGTCGTGAAATTATTTCGTTTCTGTTTTCCCTTAGTTGTAGGTAAATAAAGCACAAGCGGTTTAATTACCCCTAACTACTAAATAATCTAAGACAAGCGCTATAGATTTAATTTAATAGCAGCAATAGGAACTAGGAAAACCGACAAACTAAATAACACAAGCACAAGCGGTTGCATTTAATTTAGGAAAATATTCTACCCGAGACCAATTATCACTAAGCCGTCAATAATTAACCTCAGTTGCTACTGAATATTAGAATAATTTGTAGCACAACATTATCTAATATAGCAAATAATTATATCAATTATATAACTAGTAGGCCTCCCTAGCAATTAAATGATACAACTATTCAAATAATTTAGAAGAATATTTAATACTCAAATGCATAAAAATATATATAATAAAAATAAATAAATAACCTTACAGCGTAATGAACTCCGGGGCTTCAATTCACTAAACCAAACTAGAAATTAGCCGCGAATGGACATTGATAACAACTTTAAAGAATATTCGAGAGGGGAAGAATGAACATTTTACAATAGGAAACTCCTACTATTTATAGCATTCTAAAAATAGGCCAAACTATTCTATACCACACGTTCCCTATTTTTGTGCCTCACTACCAAGTCTAGCTGCTTGGTCTTGCCATGATTGGCGCACCACATTTGACCTGCACAAAACAACATCTAAAGATTAGATTTATAATATATATATATATATATATATATATATATATATATATATATAATGCAGTACGTATTGTATATATACTATTATTATGCATCCTAGCTATATATTATATATTATATATATATTATATTATATTATATATTACTTTTAGTAGGACGCAATATATATAGATTAGTATGTAATCTTATATATATTAAATATTATATTATATTATATATATATATATATATATATATATATATATATATATATATATATATATATCTAGTACTATATTTTGCTCATTAATTGTTAAACTCTAAAAATAACTAATTGTTAAATAATATGAAATAATTAATATGAAAATATTATAAAAATATACCTAAAATATGAGTGTAAAATGTGCATATCATATACAGATAAATGAATAAGATGATTCTCTTGTCTTGTCTCTTACTTTCTCTTTTGCAATTCCTTTGATCAATGTTTGAGCTAATTAATAGGTTACAACACATATAATTCTTTACTACTAATTATAACTTTTGGCGTAAACATTTAGTATAGCATAAAATTTATATTTTCTATTTATAGATGAGGTGCATATATGCCGGCAAAAGCAATACAAGTGGGTGCGTTAAATTTAAACTCATGATCTATAACATGATTGATTATTTATTAATTAATAACATGCAGATACATGCATGCAATGTGTGACTGCATGAGGATACATAATATGTATTGTGTTATTTGTGTATAAGTTTAGTAGGGGCTCTGGCCAGCATAATTGCCCGGAGGAGAATAGTTGCAGAAACCCCATTTTTTTCCTTCTCTGAATAATGGAATTGCTGATACAAATGAAATGAAGTATATATGGCTTCAAGGGGGTATATATAGAAGCAAAGAATTATTATTATTATTAATGTTGAAACTTTTGTTCTCAACCTTCTACTTTTTCCTCCAATTGAGGTTACATTGATATTTATCAATTTTGTTACCAATAGACTATTTATCACTAATATGGCAATTTAGAAACTTTTTTTTTGAATGTTACTAGTCCTATTACATTGTAGTACCTATTCATATACTTTCTCAACCTACTGAAACACAAAGAACCAATAACGCCTCCACTGAGGCTCGAACTCATAACCTTTCAAATGGAAGTCCAACCCGGATACCATTAGACCACATAGTCTTGGTTGACAATGTGTAA